GTCCGCAGTCCGCAGTCCGCAGTCCGCAGTCCGCAGTCCGCAGTCCGCAGTCCGCAGTCCGCAGTCCACAGTCTGCGGTCCGAAGTCCGCAGTCCATAATTTATACTGTCTGGTATGTGCCCTATGAGACCTGGGAAGTAATGGCGTCCGTATCGAAGAGAGCACGTGTCGATTTTGTCGATCCAGAAGATGAATTGGACTTAATTTTAAACGATGAAAACTCACCCAATGGGATGTCTAGTGATGAAGAAAGCGATTTAGACCGGCAGCTGGAAAACGAGACCGAAGAATCAAGGTAAGCACTCAATAAACTATGTATCATACCTGATCATACAGTACACGACCACGAGGCTTCGAAGATACAAGCTTACTCTTCAAGCTACCTGTTTTTTACGTTTGAATTCTTGTCACTGCTGATATGGTTACTTGCGGTCACTTCAACACAAATAAACAGTTAGCTTCAAGCTGCAACATCCAAAATATACCTGCCCAGTGTAAACTGCAGGTTGCAGGTTACAAATTATAGGTTCAGCTGTAGGTTACAGCCTGGATTACAGCTTTTAGGTTGCAATTCAGAATTTCATTAACGCATGGAAGGAAATGGTCAAGGGTAGGGTGAACTTGGGGAGGGGAGGGGAGGGGGAGGAGGGAGTGGTATTGCTGTTTTGCAATGTTTGTAATTCTTAGGACAATGAAAGAAATGGCGGCAGTGACAATATGCCTGTCATAATTAATAGGTTGGGCAGAAATCTTTGGGGAATATTAAATTAAGAGGATTTGCATAGACGCTGAGGGATTAATGTGACCTCAACCCATCCTGCTGGTTAAAAAAATACAAAATGCCCATTCTAACTGGCGTCAAATATAAGGGTTTTGTTTATCAAAAAGTATTTAACACTTGCAAATGATTGACTTACCGTTTGTATTGAAAAGTCTAGTCGTCAGAGTGTTTAAGATACTTCATCATACTGTACATGTAGCTGCTCAACTCAACTAGGGGACAGATGCTTGCCTCATTTAGTCATCAAACCATTGTTGCTTTTTGAAAATTTGAACTGCTGTTATTGTGGTGTCTGTGGAGCGGTTTTCAAATGAGTGTCATAAAACCAATAACTCACCAATTTATAAGATTACTCAACTACAATCTCAAACCATTGGTGGTCAGTATAAAATGCAGACTGAGCACTGCATGCAGACTGAGGGTAAAATGCAGACTTCAGACAGATTACAGACTTTGTAAGTATATAGTGTGTTATTTCCATCAGCAAGTTCTAACCATAAACAGGGTTATACAAGCTAATCATTATTTTACTTAAGTCGATGCACCTCAGTATTTAGCCTGAATATCGATCACTATGGTAAGCCTGAATATCACTCAGGCTAGTCTGAATAACACTCCGGTTAGCCTGTTTATGGTTTGCTCTCAATAACGGAAAATGGTAATACAATTCAGTTAAAAGCTCTGTAATCTGCATTTTACCCTCAGTCTCCAATTTACCACCTGTCCACAATTTGCAGACTGCAGTTCACACTCAGTATTTCACATTGAGTGAAACACTTAGTAAAACACCAAAACCAAAGTAATTGCCTGATTACTTTCGACGCTCAATTGATAAACATTTGTTATTTTGATTCTTTTAGTGAAGAAGAAGACGAAGAAGTTGAAGAAGATAAAGAAGTTGAAGAAGATGAGCAACAAGAAGCTACTCCTGGTGAATAAAATGTTTTTCAATTGGCACAAATTTAATCAATTCAATCAATCAATAAACTTTATTTAAGTGTCTAAAACTTCTAGTCCGTCTGAAAGCCACCTAATCGGGGACAGTCCCAATAAAATTACTCACAATAAAGTGCATAACTATTACAATTTTTGAATGAAAATATTTATGACTAACTTTAAATGACTTTGATTTAAGTAAATATTTTGAAAGGAAGCAAAACTATGCGTGTATTTACATAATTTTTCTTCTATTTCCCTGTGCATATCAACATAATCATATCTATATCTGATCTATGGACTAAACACATTCAATTTTAATCTTAACTTTTTATTTTCATATACATTTAGGTTCCCATGCCCCTTGTCAGTTCCCTGGTGATGGCGCTGCTGTCCTCAGTGGTCATGGGGGTCGTGGTGTTCATGGTGGTCGTAGCATTAGTGGTGGTCGTAGCATTAGTGGTAGTTGTAGCATTCATGGTGGTTGTGCTCGAGGTCGTGGTGATCCTGCAGTGGCCACTAAGTCCTATGGTGACCTAGATGTTGGAAATTGCCCCCCTCCATTCGCCCCGTCACGCCCAGTTGGTATTCACCTTGGCAGGCCTCTTCTCAGGAATACTATGACAAGGGCTGTTGACTTTTTTTATCTGTTTTTTACAGCAGACATGATCGGTAATATTTGTGATCATACGAATAGTTACGCTTATGAGAAAATCTTTGAGGGAACGCATCAGACTTATGCTAAAACTGACGGGAGCTGGCAAGATGTTACAGCTGATGAGATTAAACGACTGATTGCTTTACTAATTTATTTTGGTCTTGTCAGGGTGGGGGTTGGAGAAAAGTATTGGAGTGTGAAGACCCTCTACCATGGTCTCTGGGCACGAGCAATCCTGTCTAAAGTCAGGTTCAAAGCCCTATTGGCCATGCTACATATTGTGGACCCAGCAACTGAAAAGCCTGGTGATAAGTTAAGAGAAGTAGAGTCATTTATTGATTATTTTAAATCCAGATGTCTTACTTTATATCAACCGAGACAAAATTTAGCTATCGATGAACGCATGGTTAAGTCTAAGCATAGGTCTGGTATACGTCAGTATATCAAAGCCAAGCCCAACAAATACGGAATCAAACTCTGGGTGCTAGCGGACAGCTCGAATGGGTATACCATAGACTTCAATGTCTACATTGGTCAAACAGCAGGGCGGGATGTTAGTGCAAATGGACTGGGCTATGATGTTGTAATGAGGCTTATGTATCCTTTACTGAATCAGGGTTACCACTTATTCGTGGATAACTTTTATACTTCTGTGACCCTGTTCAAAGATTTGTTTTCCCGGGGGGTCCCTGCCACAGGTACCATCCTGGAGACCAGGAAAGATTTTCCAGCTAGTCTTAAGAATAGCAAGGAATGGGCCAAGGGACGAGAAAGGGGAAGCATGCATTGGGAAAGAGATACCCCCTGCTTAGCATTGCAGTGGATAGATAATAAAGTAGTTTCAGTCCTAACAACTATTGATAATGCCAATGATCATGTCCAGGTTACCCGAAGAGCTAGGACTGCTGGTGTGTGGAGTACCAAAGTGGTACCGCAGCCCCAGACTATTAGTAATTACAATAAGTACATGAATGGAGTTGACCGGTCTGATCAGATTATAGCCACTAATAATGTCTTACGCAAGTGTATGAGCTGGTGGAAAACTTTGTTTTTCCACCTCATAGATATAGCTGTAGTTAATAGTTTTATTCTTTTCAAGGAGCACCAGGCGAAGTTTCCAGATACTGAAGCTCTTCAAAGGTCAGCTGGCTATTCCTTAAGTAATTTCCGCGAGGAGATTGTCAGACAACTCTGTGATTTACCAGAATATGATCAACCGCCAGTATACTCCAATGCAAAACCAGCTCCCTGCCTGGAAGAGTTTGAAACTGTACATATTCCAGTTTTCTCTGATAAAAAGAGAAACTGTGTGGTGTGTTACAAGCAGGGCAGAGGTGAAAAGAAAGTACGTTCTTACTGCAGTGCACCACAGTGTCTTGGGAAGTTTATGCATGTTTTGACAGACAGGAATTGCTTCGCAGAGTTTCACACCAGGGAGTACCATAGCTGAATTCGTTGTGTATAATATTGCTATTATTGCTGTTCTTGCTAATTTTTTTACATCTTGTGTTATTCTCCAAAAAAAGTAAAATAAAAATAGCTCCCCAAATTAACATTTTTATTTCAGTAACAACTTATATTACAACTATTGTGATTTAATTTTCGCATTGGCAGAAGGGCCTGCCAGTGAATGGCAGCAGTGGAGGAGGGCCATCGAGGTTTCCTTAGCACTTCCAGACCCATCCCTATGCAGACAGAGATAAGCTAAGCTGCGAGCTGCGAGCTGTCACTGCCGTCACTAGATGTACTTGCTTCTAGGAATTTACAAGGTTGTTATCATAGTTCGCGTGGCTTCAGCAGGACCGTCGGTGTCAATTCTTAACGAATCTCTTTTCAGCTACTGTTTGAGGCGTAACAACCTTGGTTTTGATGTTTTTTAAATATAGGGTGACGAGTTTCTCAATTCCGTTCCTCTATGTTGCATTTTCATAACGTAAGCTGTGCAAATAATTGGAAATTGCTCCTTGCAAATACGTGAAAGTGTTACAAAACAAACTGAGATCACAGAATGACTAAGATTTTTGTGGATATGAAAATTGCTATTACATACTTCAATGGCATCGTGGATGCCATTGCTGCAATGAATAGTGGACCATCTGGTCAGTGGTATATTCGGTGAACGCACCCGTTGTAACTTTCAACTCGCAACTCGCGAAATAGGGAATCCCATGCCAAACATTTTTGTTGATTTTTTTTTTATTATAATTTATTATTTTGATTTTTTTATCTTCGGTTTTATTTTTTTTACTTTTATCGCCTTTACAACTAAATTAAAGAAAAATTAATTTCCAAATAAATTACTTACATATTAAATGGCTAACATACTAACAATAACATAAGTAAATGTAATTACACTACTGAACACTTACACTAATTACTAACACTAAAGCTTAGTTCCTTGCCCCCGAGTGGGGGATAGGGCCGGAGATCAATGCTCGCCATCTGTCCCTATTCTTGGCCACAGCTGCTGTTGCGGCCACGATGTAAGTCCCAGCTCAGCGCGTTCCTTCTCCACAGTTCTCCGCCATGTTTCCCTTGGCCGTCCT